CGAGGCGGGCGGATCACGAGGTCAGGAGATTGAGACCCACCCTGGCTAACACGGTGAAACCCTGTCTCTACTAAAAAAAGAACAAAAAAATTAGCTGGGTGTCTGTGGCGGGCACCCTGTAGTCTCAGCTACAGGGCAGCTGAGGCAGGAGAATGGCGTGAACCCGGAGGGGAGGGCTTGCAGTGAGCCTGAGATTGCGCCACTGCACTCCAGCCTGAGCAACAAGAGTGAGACTCCGTCTCAAAAAATTAAAAAAATAAAAAAGTATGGACTCTGGAGTAAATACTATTTCTACCACTTTTTATCCCAGCAAGTTACTACTCTAACCCCATTTCACCATCTGTAAAACGAATAAATGATAGAATTTTCCTCCCTCAGACTGCTGTATTAAATGAGCACCTCAACACTACCTGAAACATATTAACAGCTCAATAAATGTTAATTAAATCTGAGAGCAGAATTGTGCCACTGCATTCCAGCCTGGGGCGACAGACTGAGACTCCGTCTCAAAAAAAAGAACTCGGCCTCCCAAAGTGCTGGGATTACAGGCGTGAGCCACTGCACCCAGGCTTTGTTTAGTTTTGTTTTGTTTTAAAGACACAAGGTGTCACTCTGTTGCCCAACCTGGAGCACAGTTGTGTGATCATAGCTCACTGCAGCATCAAACTTCTGGGCTCAAGCAATCCTCTGGCCTCAGCCTCCTGAGTACAAGCAAGCACCACCATGCCCAGCTAAGAGGATATAATTTGAGTCACTACGCTTGATTAGGAAACTGCCTGAAAAAAAACATTGCTCTGAGGGGTGACATTATCAAGTCATATTACAAGGACAGGCTAATTCAGAATTAGCAGATGTAAACAATGGATAACTCTGGCCTTAAAATATGGTCCCAGGAATAATCTTCATTTTTTATAGATGGTATCTTATGTGCACTTTATGATAATTTTGTGTGGTCTGCAGCAAGGTGCTAACATTCATTCTAAAAAAGTTCAGTTTTCTCACCTGTAAAAACGAGCATAATACCACCTACTCGAACATGGTTACTGAGTAAAGAATGAGATGATGTCAGGAATATGAAGCACCTAGTATAATGCCTGACATATATATCAGGCTCAATATATCGTGGTAGCCATTATTATTTGTAATTGCAATAGCAATGGGAAATTGACCAGCCAGTCTGTCTCCATCCAATTCTTAACTACAGTATAGGCCAAACACTGCAGAGGCATGTCCTCCACAAATTCTTATGTTGAAGTCCTAATCCCCAATACCTCAGAATGTATCCTTACTTGGTCATTGCAGATGTAGTAAGTTAAGATGAGGTTATATGGAGTAGAGTGAGCAGCTAATCCAATATGACTGTGTCCTTCTAAAAAGGGGAAAATGGGACAAAGACTGACAGCAAACCAAAAAAAAAAAAAAAAAAAAACAAAAACTAGGGGAGAGGCATAATACAGATTCTCTCTCACCAGCCTTAGAAGTAACCAACCCTGCTGACACCTTCATCCCAGACTTCCAGCCTCTAGAATTCAGAGATAAGAAATCACTGGGTTTAAGCCACCTAGTCTGTGGTACTTTGTTATGAAGCCCTGGCAAACTAATAAACTTAACTTACCTATAGTTGTCTTAAGAATGTAAATATCTCGAAGGGGAGACTATCTTTACAATGTTACATCCTTTGTAGCTTTACATAGCAGGTACTCAGTAAATATCTGTGCGACAAATCTGTCCTACTATATGTTATGTCATGTTCCCATTTCAGTAAATGACAACTCTATTCTTCCTGTTGCTTGGGCCCAAAGCTTGGAGTCATCCTGAATGCCTTCCCTTTTCCCAAAATCCTCATCCAATTTGTCAGTACATCAGCTCTACCCTTAAAATATATCCAGAATCTGACCATTTTCACAGTACCCTTAGCTATCACCTTTGTCCAAGCCACAACTATTATCTCTCATCTGGATTAAGTTCAAAAGCTCCCATCTCACAGCTGTAGGGATCCATTCAGAAGCTCTGAGTTGGCCGGTACGGTGGCTCACGCCTGTAATCCTAGCACTTTGGGAAGCCAAGGCAGGCAGATCACCTGAGGTCAAGAGTTCAAGACCTGCCAGGCCAACACAGTGAAATCCCATCTCTACTAAAAATGCAAAATATTAACCTAATGTGGTGGCACATGCCTGTAATCCCAGCTACTAGGGAGGCTGAGGCAGGAGAATCACTTGAACCCGGTAAGCAGAGGTTGCAGTGAGCCAAGATGGCGCCACTGCACTCCAGTCTGGGCAAGAGTGAGACTCAGTCTCAAAAAAAAAAAAAAAAAGCTCTGAGTTGTTATAAAGATTATTTTAAGCTGAAGGCATCTGAGCTTCAACAGATGCAGGAAAAAGAAAAAAAAAAGCCTTCTGGGAGCTTCTCTCGTCTGACTAAAAGCAGCAACTTCTGGGAAATGAGGCTACCATAAAGTCCCTCTCAGAGAAGTTTTAAGGCCATGAAGCAGCTCGAAAGACCTGCCATACCTGCATAAACAAGTACTACCACAAACTTTCTTTCTTTTTTTTTTTTTGAGATGGAGTCTTGCTGTGTCGCCCAGGCTGGAGTGCAGTGGCCGGATCTCAGCTCACTGCAAGCTCCGCCTCCCGGGTTCACGCCATTCTCCTGCCTCAGCCTCCTGAGTAGCTGGGACTACAGGCGCCCGTCACCTCGCCCGGCTAGTTTTTTTGTATTTTTTAGAGATGGGGTTTCACCGTGTTAGCCAGGATGGTCTCGATCTCCTGACCTCGTGATCCAACCGTCTCGGCCTCCCAAAGTGCTGGGATTACAGGCTTGAGCCACCACGCCCAGCCAACCACAAACTTTCTTATTTCCTATTCTCCTAAAAACAAACTTGTCTTTCCTAAGGAAACCTATTTGCTCTTCTCATAGAAGCCTTTCTCCCAGCTTCCTTTTTCCTACTAAATTAGAAAGTCTTGGCCAGATGCACTGGCTCACACCTGTAATCCCAGCACTTTAGGAAGCTGAGGCGGGCAGATCACCTGAGGTCGCGAGTTCAAGACCAGCCTGACCAACATGGAGAAACCTCATCTCTACTAAAAATACAAAATTAGCTGGGTGTGGTGGCACATGCCTGTAATCCCAGTTACTTGGGAGGCTGAGGCAGGAGAATCGCTTGAACCTGGGAGGTAGAGACTGCAGTGAGCTGAGATCCTACCATTGCACTCCAGCCTGGGCAACAAGAGTGAAACTTGGTCTCAAAAAGGAAAAAAAGAAAAAAAAGAAAGCCTCAAGTTCTAACCACCCCCTTTGAGTTACTATTACTGAGCACTCCTGTGTGAACATGTCTTGCATGCATAAACTCTTGTTCCTCTAAATAATCTGTTTCGTCAGTTAAATTCACAAGCCCTAGAAACAGAACCCAAAAGGTTGGAGGAAGATTTTTCCCTGCCTACACTGCTTTACCCTTACTTTTCTACCATCTATTCTCCACACAGCAACGATAATCCACTTTGTCAAAACACAGGCCCAGATCATATCACTCCTTTTTTCAAACCCTGTAATAGATTCCCATATAACTTAAGAGTAAAAGCCAAAGTCCTTAAAAACCTACAAGACCATATAACGGGTATCAACATGATTTTGCTCTCTACCTTTCTGATTTCACTCTCTATTATTCTTTCCCTTACTCATTCCACTCTCTGGTATATAGAACTCCTTACTGTTTCTATTGAATAAAAGGGATTAATGAAATATAAAGACACCATATAGATAGAAATGCCTGGATGGCATCAGTTCAAATCTTAGCTTTCAGTCAAAGCCAAAATGCATTTCAAGTTATCATGATAGAAAAAAATGTTTCAAATTAACAATTCACTCCTTAACTAACGACTTTCGTAACTATATTTTTAAAGAATGCATGTTGTAAATAGTGATTCTGAACCACTAGCGGATTGTAAAAATCAACTCACCAGGATTTTTTTTTTTTTTGAGATGGAGTCTTGCTCTGTTACCAGGCTGGAGTGCAATGGCGTGATCTCAGCTCATTGTTAACCTCATCCTCCCTGGTTCAAGCGATTCTCCTGCCTCTGCCTCCTGAGTAACGGGGACTACAGGCGCGCACCACCATGCACCCAGCTAATTTTTATATTTTTAGTAGAGACAGGGTTTCAGCATGTTGGCCATGATGGTCTCGATCTCTTGACCTTGTGATCCACCTGCCTCGGCCTCCCAAAGTGCTGGGATTACAGGCATGAGCCACCACTCCCGGCCTTCAACTCACCAGGATTTTCTAATGTGATAGAAGATAAAAGGGAAATTGTACAGTAGATGGTATAGGATTATTTCATAAACCTTTGTCTCCATATAGGTGCATCAGCTCAATTATGTACAATCTTTCTTTAGGTCAAGGTCAGAAAAATTAGAAAACCACTGCTCTCAAAAAAGCCCTTAAAAATGAAACACTCTGGCCGGGCGCGGTGGCTCAAGCCTGTAATCCCAGCACTTTGGGAGGCCGAGGCGGGTGGATCACGAGGTCAGGAGATCGAGACCATCCTGGCTAACATGGTGAAACCCCGTCTCTACTAAAAATACAAAAAACTAGCCGGGCGTGGTGGCGGGCGCCTGTAGTCCCAGCTACTCGGAGGCTGAGGCAGGAGAATGGCGTGAACCTGGGAGGCGGAGCTTGCAGTGAGCCGAGATCGCGCCACTGCACTCCAGCCTGGGTGACACAGCGCGAGACTCCGTCTCAAAAAAAAGAAACACTCTTTTGATTTAGGACCAACAACTCTAAAATACATTCTGTTCCTAAGAAATAGTGGAATGAAGCCAGGCATGGTGCCACACACCTGTAGTCCCAGCTACTGGGGAGGCCGAGGTGGGAGATCACTTGAATCCAGGAGTTCAAGGCTGCAATGAGCTATGACTGAGCCACAGCACGCCAGCCTGGGTGACAGAGCAAAACTGTCCCCCTCCAAAAAAAAAAAAAAAAAGGAGAAAGAGCTGAAACAGAATCCCTGGTGTAATACTGTGAAATATAAGTACGTTTGGTTCCCATTTCCTGGCATACAATTTCTAAAATCCTTGGAATAACCAGTGTCTTTTTGTATGCTAATGAGATGACTGGTGACTGGCAGTCCCCAGGTAAGCTTCATGATGGGGGAGGGTCATAGGAGAAGGTTGGGATTTTTCAGTCTCACCCCTGAACCTCCAAGGAGGAGAGGCTGAAGGTTAGGCCAGTCACCAAAAGCCAATGATTCAATGAATGCTGACTACATAATGAAGACTGCATAAAAGCCCAAAAGGACAAAGTTCAGAAGAACTTTTGGCTGGGCATGGTGGCTCACACCCCAGGAGTTCAAGACCAGCCTGGCCAACGTAGTGAAATCCCGTCTCTACAAAAAACACAAAAATTAGCTGGGCGTACTGGCCCACACCTATAATCCCCGCTACTTGAAAGGCTGAGACATGAGAATCGCTTGAACCCAGGAGGCAGAGGTTGAAGAGAGCCAAGATAGTGCCACTGCCCCAGACAGAGCATGGAAGCTCCAGACCCCTTCCCCTATACCTTGTCTTACATATCACTTCATCTGTATCTTTAAGAATATATTAATAGTAGCCATAAAAAAGAAGAAGATCATGTCCTTTGCAGTAACAAAGATGCAGCTGGAGGCCACTATCCCAAGTGAATTAATACAGAAACAGAAAACCAAATACAGCATATTCTTACTTACAAGTGGGACCTAACACTGGGAACACAGACACAAAGATGGCAACAATAAACACTAGAGATTCCACGAGTGGGGAAGGGGGGGAGGGGCAGGGGTTGAAAAACTACCTATTGGATACTGTGTTCACGGCTTGGGCAACGGAATCATTAGAAGCCCAAACCTCAGGATAAGGCAATATACCCCTGTAACAAAACTGCATATGTACCCTCTGAATCTAAAATTAAAAATATATAAATACACAAAATAAAAGTTTTATAACAAACCAGTAAACATGTTGCCTTGAGTTTTGCGACCACATTAATCAAAACCAAGGAGGGAGGTCATGGAAACTCTGATTTATAGGTGGCCGGTCAGAAGCACAGGTAAAACAACCTGAGGCTTGCCATTGACACAGAAAGTGGGCACAGTCTTGTGAGACTGAGCCCTCAACTTGTGTGATTTGATCCTATCTCCAAGTAGAGAGCTTCGGAACTGACTTGTAGGGCATCCCCTGCAGAGAGACTGTTTGCCTGATGTTTGGGAGAAAATCCCCACACACCACGTATCTGGTGTCAAAAGTGTGTTGTGAGTGCAGCAGGAGAAAACTGAGTGTGCTTTTTCTACACACTTGGTCAATTACATCAGCTGGAGAATGAGGAATCAAGGAATCACGCTACTCTGAAGAGGGTAAATGAGGGAACTCAGCATATTCTTTTATAGGCCCCAAAATTTTCTCTTTAAAATGTTTACAGTTTACTAGGTGATTAAACCCATTTACTCACTTCACTGTCACAAACGTTCTCGAAGAGAGGAATGCTGGGGTGATTATCCTCGGATAAATGACTTATAGCAGTCCCAAAATATTCAGGCCCTGGTTTCCAATTTTGAGTAACAATCTAAGGCCTTCTTTCCCTTGCACCAGAACTGCAGACAAGCCTCCGCTAAAATCCCAGCTTTGCCACATACTCTGCAGTTTTGGCAAATCCCGTGATAGGGGATAAAAATGTTACTTGAGCCACCCAGAATTAAAAGATGGCACCTTAAGAGGTGCTTCGGGAGGAACCGGAGCTCCCGCGCTGGGAGCTCTCATTCCTTGGTCCCCCTCCAGCTCCGGAGGAACCCACAGTCAGGAAGCCTCGCAGGGCGGAGCCATCCGAATTGTAAACAATGGCGGCCGACCTCCTCCGTTTCCCGAGGAACCCAGAGGGCGAGACCCCTGATCCCGACCTAAGCGTATCGCGGATTTGGATTTGGGTCTGGGGCCCCGGACACCCTGTGTAGCCCAGGGCCTCCTGACATCCCGAGGGCCTCTGGAGCCAAGGCCCGTGCAGGTCTGGGTTTGAGGCCTTTCCCCACAAACCGCAGGTCCGGTGAGGACTCGGGACCCCGAACTCACCCAGCTGGCGAGGGAGAAGACACCCAGGACAGCCCCCATGGTGACGCCAGTGATGGAGGTGGCAGGTCCTGAGGCTGCTTTCTAATGCGGTGGTAAGTGCCAGCTGAGGCGTCTCCCCAGAAACGCGACGGTTCCTCAAGCCGGAAACTTGGCCCTCCACCGGCGCACGGATGCGTCACGGCGTGGCCCCGCCCACCGTCCACGACCGAAGCGACCGAGCCGGGGGGGTGGGGGGGGCCTGTCATTGGCTGAGGGTGCGCCTGTCATTGGCTGAGGGGGAAGGCGGGGCTAAACCATCCTGGGATTGCAGGAACTGGGAAGGTGTCATTCCTTATATCATTTGTATTCATTGTGCAAAGATCTGGAGGTTACAGAAGTGTACAGAGAGGCACGGTATCTACGCTCAGAATTTATTCTCTAGTTAAGAGATCTGACACCATGCCCCAATGTAATGAATACGATGAAGCAGTATGGGGGAATAGGCTTTCAATAAAGGTGTATTTAGTGCCTACTATTGTAAGGGGAAAGTAATTTAGTTGGGCAGTAGTCTTGGAAGACTTCTCTGAAAGATTTATTTTTTAATCTGCGAACCAAAGGATGAGTCCAAATTAACCAAGAAACGATGGGAATCGTTTCCTAAAATGTGTGATGCACCCCATTTGAGAAAAATGAAAGGCTCTAAGGGTGCATGAACAGAACATTAAGCGATATTAAACAGCAGAATGAGAACGTCCCATTTCAAACCAATAGGCTAGTTGTTTGAGGCCAGTATGGTATTTAACATTTTTCTAATGTTTATCTCCCTTTTTAACACAGTAAGGGCTTCATTTTCCAAATCTCTCAAACAGGCAACCATGCCTGCAGTTTAAAAATATTGTTTTGTTTTGAGGTGTGTGTTTGCAATAACCTTTTCATTTCTACCAAGCAATGCTGATTTCTCATTTAACCAGTGATGTAAATATTCCTTTCAAAACACATGTCAAATTTGAGAGTTCACTTAAAGAAGAAAATGAAAACATTATTTACTTACATATATAATAGTTTAGTTGGAATGTGGCAAACGATGATGTCTGGACAATGAGGTGTCACTCTTCTCCTGTGGTGTGTTAATCTTCCCTGATTGATAAATTACGAATCCCCTGGAAGGGGATTCGTAATTGAATTCCTTCTGGATTATCAGCCTTTAGTCTGAAAAGGGAAATTCATGAAAAGCCCTTCTGTCCATGAGCAGTTCTCATGGACAGAGCAATCATCATACCAGTGTGGCATATTTGGGGATGTTATTTCCTGGATTCCTTGAAAATGTATTCCAAATTCATCTTTTACAGAAATGGAATGAGGCTCAAAGTGTGCCCAAGGCCATGAAAAGTGTTGATGAAAGAAAGAAAACTACTCACATTTAATAATTCCTACCTCTCTTTTCCCAGATCCCTCTCCTCACCGCACATACACAAATACCAGTTCAAGTCAGGTTGCTTCAGGACCACTGCACTTTCCAGGGAGCCCTTAACATTCTTGCTTCTTCCTGTCTGAGTATTGTTGGTCTGGACTTAAGAGAGCTAAGACTGTGATAAATTTTATAGATCAAATTCTACCAGAAACATACCTGTAGTCAAAAAGAATTAGGTTTATTTAGCTTGTTCAGAAAGGGAGAACACATACCAAAGAAAACATAGGTGTCTTGGTAAGAGGTAACTGCAGATAACTTATTTTAGGATTTGGGTTTATGCTGGGTAACTAAATCCAAGGAGAGTTTAAGGAAGTGGAGAACAGTTTTGGATTGGACACAGTCAAGGAGTAGAGGCAATTCAGTGATCAGTTATCTTACATATTTTTATCCGGGAGGTAGAAGGATTAAAACAAGGCTAGATTTGTTCTTGGAAAAGAAGCAAAACCCACTCATATTAGTCAGAATTGGAAGATGTTGAGTCCTATTTGTGGTACCAGAGTGGCTTTGTCTGTGTCTTGCTCCAACTACATGGTGGTCTTGTCTGATCTTTGTTCATATTCTGTGATCACTGTTTATGTTCCATTAGAAACATTAGGTCTAGCTGTCAGCTGAACAGTTTTTCACTTTCTAACCTGCAAACATTTGTCCTCCCAAATGTAGGATCCCACCCATCTCTTAGTGTTTCTGGCCCTAACTAGTTGAGTGTGTCACCTCTACTTGGCCAAAGGGAGGAGAGCAGATCTTCGAGATCATCTACTCCAATCTCCCACCTCAGGCAGGAACCCCTCAGCAACATCTCTTCTAGGGTAGGAGACTCACTGCCACCCAAGGCAGCTCCTCCCATCTTTACATATCCGTTGTCAAACCTGTCAGGCCTCTGAGCCCAAGCTAAGCCATCATATCCCCTGTGACCTGCACGTACACATCCAGATGGCAGGTTCCTGCCTTAACTGATGACATTCTACCACAAAAGAAGTGAAAATGGCCTGTTCCTGTCTTAACTGATGACATTACCTTGTGAAATTCCTTCTCCTGGCTCATCCTGGCTCAAAAGCTCCCCCGCGGAGCACCTTGTGACCCCGCCCCTGCCCGCCAGAGAACAACCCTCTTTGTAATTTTCCTTTACCTACCCAAATCCTATAAAACGGCCCCACCCCTATCTCCCTTCGCTGACTCTCTTTTCGGACTCAGCCCGCCTGCACCCAAGTGAAATAAACAGCCTTGTTGCTCACACAAAGCCTGTTTGGTGGTCTCTTCACACGGACGCGAGTGAAAAAACCTAGGTTTCCCCCTTATGTTGTTGAAAAGATAACACATGTACTTGGTTATAAAATACTGCGTAAAGGAGCACACTGTGAAAATGAAGTGTCCTTCCCACCCTTTCCCCACCCTCA